AAATACATGGTTGGGGTATGGCTTATACCCCCAGAAATACATTTCTCTAAAATTATTATTATTTTTGAAAAATTCTTATCAATGTATTTATCGGAACTTACTTGAATTTTACACAACTTCTAAGTCAAGCAGGTTTGTTTTGTCGATTTGGTTGAAATAAAAAAAGTGTCAATGAGTGGCGGCCATTTTGTCAAATGCCTCTGTTTGTACAAATAGTGGTTTTAAATCATAAATCTGTTGGTTTTTTTTTTTGTTTTTTGTTTTTTGTTTTTTTTGTTATGATTAGTAATTTTCTCGCTTTCATATTATTTGCATAAATTTACAAAGTAAAAAAGAAGAAAAGAAAAAGTGAAAAAAAAGAAAAACCATTGAAAGCTTATAGCTTGACTGCGTGGTATGTACTTTCATTTACACCGGCTCTCGACCAATCAGAAATCGAGAAAATTTTGTATTACGTTATCGCATTTCGTAAGAGTTCATTATATGATATATACAAAAATTTACAAATCCCTATTACATACAAAGTGAGAAGTACCACATCAATCACTATGGGAACTAAACAAGKTTTTTTTTGCGATTTAGTATACTATAATGTTGATTTGACTAGCAATGTACGGTTTTTCATCTCTTTTCTAGACGATAACACATATACTACAACCTGACCAGAATGCTTTGCGCTGTTTAGATTCTTTTGTACTTACGCTCATATATACTCACATTTGATTGGTCTGTTATTCTTCGAGCTATCCAATCATGAAACASTTGACCAGCAAGCTTAAAACAAACTCAAAAAAGGCTGAACTGAATTGGCGTTGACGCCTATCGAACATAGAAGCTAAGACTACAGATAGACGAGGGAAGTGCGGCAATTAGACGATGAACATAGAAGCTAAGACTACAGATAGACGAGGGAAGTGCGGCAATTAGACGATGAATTAAGATTTCCCAGGTACCCTTGCGGTCTCAGCGTCTATATTCGATCACTTGGAATACACTTATTTCAAAAAACGTTGTCGGGGAGTACGAAATTGTCTCTACTAGTCTCCATTTTTACGCAAGCTAAACCAAACCATTAAATGTTGGCATCATGCCAAACAACGTAAACATAATCCCTTTCGGTCATACAATCTCGACGACAATTGCCCGGCAATGCGGCATTCTTCAATCTCCACGACAAGGTTTTTGAAATAGCTGTATATAGGAAGCAAATACGCAGAGCTTCACGTTGTTCAAATGTCGCCGTGCAGTTTCTACAATTCAACGTTCTGATCATTAGAATACCCGTTAACACATTTGCATCGCACAAACAGATTAACAAACTCCTTACGGATATTAGAACTGATCACAAAACACAGGATAGGATTAAACAACGATCGACCGAAGAAAAGAAAGATGAAAGCTATGGTCACCCTATAGTCGAGATCTCGCCAGTCTTTTAGGAACGCCCAGTCCATGATGGTCAGCGGTACCCATAGGAGGATATACAGGAGGAACATGGCGGAGCAGAGGAAAAACACTTCAGTGTTCAAGACAGCGGTGTTAGAAGCCTGTTTGTCGGGAGGAGGGGTGACGCTTTGGTGACCTGGGTAGGGGGGAGGCAGGCTCTACAAAATGAAATTATTTGTTAATTAGCAATAATGGTGTTTCTCACAAATGGTGCCCGGTCTGTAATGATATCCTGAAAGCGTGATTGGTCGGATTATCCAGATTTCTGTCTCACGAGAAATTTTACAAAGAATTATCACGCATAACATATACGAGGCGGTAAGCTTGCTAGTCATATTGATGCGAGTCTACATAGACATATTGCGATGCCTACACGCTTACAATATGACGCAGTTGTGTAAAAAGATAAATTTAACACCTTAATAAAAAGTAGGTGAAATAACTCAATGACGGCTCCTCCAACGAGGGATTAACGTCCGAAACGTCAGTAAGTTATTTCACCTTTACACAACTGTTTCTTAAGAAACACCGACGCAACTCAGTGTTAGTTTACAGCTAGTCACATGAAATCGAGTCTATAAACGGCATTACGATGTACCAACTATGCTAGACATTACCATCGAGTCTATAAACGGCATTACGATGTA